TTGACCCACGATTGTTTTATCGTGAATATGACTGCTTAATGCATACAAGAATTACAATAACTCTTATGAAAAGATAGGATAAGAAAAATAACTACCTAGATATACTGTAGATAAGACAAGATTTGATTCATACTGTAGTGTTACAAGGTTTTGAAAAGTAATGAATGTTTTTACAAAATGACAATGTTTCACATCGGTAGTTAGAGAAGGTAGATTCGTTGTTGTAGGGATAGACATAGGTTTGGTAGGTAGGAAAGGTTATAATACTGGGTAATTTCCAAGATAAGGCACACAAGGAACAAATCAGAAATTCAAAGGTAGCTATTTGTAATTTACAATATTTTCATGGAAATAAGCTTAAATATTCGGGTTGTTAGGAATGATATTCGGGAATATTGAATTTTATGAGGATAAGTGGATCAGAAAAGACCCTTACATTAGAAGACCAACTGGAAAATACCGATTAGGAATAATGAAAAATTGAATAACTCAAAGAAGATCAGTTTAAAATACATGAAATAAAAATAATGTCATAAAACAGTTTGTTTTGTTGTACAAATTTTAGAGCTGTCTGAATACTAAAAAATTGAGATTCACTTGAAAAACATAATAATTTCGATAACAAGATTTTAGATCGAACATGCTACCACCCCTAGAAGATGAGCCGCGAAGTAATCCAAGACGAGGATTTGAAGACCCAGGTGGAGACTGACCCATCAGAAACGATGCGTGAGATAGCACAATAACTGGGTCTTAGCTCCTATGCAGTTTTTGATGGTTTAAAACGTTCTCGTATTTTGAAGGTCGAAAAGCTCGAAATGAGGTGCTCCATGATTAGAACGATCGACAGAAATCGTCATATTTTGAGGTCTGTTCTTCTGTACTTTTGCGCTGAGATAAAAACTGAATTATCTATACTAATAGAATATCATCAGGTTGGTGGAGTGATACCTATGCGGCACCCAGGCATTTTTCAATTGCAAAAACCTGTCAAAAACAGGCCATGGTTACTGATTGGTGTCAGCAGCAGATCTCTCGTCTACCGATTACCATCTTTTCGAACACTTCGATAACTTTTGCACCAGTAGAATCTTTGCCAATCAAGACCAGGTATAACGACCTTTATCGACTCTATCGGATCTATAGCACCAAATTTTGATGCTGACGGAATCAATCGTTAGCAAAAGTGCACTGTTTCGAATAGCTCCTATTTCGATTGAATTGTATAAGTATCCATTGATATATTACAGATTGAAATAGATTCATGAAAACAGACAAAACTTCTTCAATTACCTATTATTTTTGGCTTTAGTCATTTTCTATCTGATGTGGTTGGTAGTAACCTTTCAGTATATTTTTTCATATTTTCCGAAGCAGATAATACGAAAATATACCAACAGGAGTTACTCATTTACTGTTGTTCAGAACTATGTGAGTGTGAATGTATTTGAATAAAAAATCAGGATCTAAAGAGAAGCGAGACGTGAGATTCACAGCTACAGTTGGTTATCACAGTTACATAAAACTTTCAATCTGTAGGAGAAAAAATTGTTCACGGAAATGAATGGTTTTCAAAATGAAATTGAACTGAAATATTTGCCAAGCAAGCGCATTTCTGTATTCAAATCAGATTTTTTTTCTGTTTTTGTGATCCACTATAGAAATAAGAATCCACACCGTGCTATATCAGTAACGGAGAGAGTTAGTCAGTGTTATCTTGACAGATATTACTGTTGATACTGAGAATTTACTTTATTTCATTCCGTTTGAATTGAATTGAATCAAAAATGGTTCGCGCCAGATATCATTGGTCAACAAAATTTTAACTGTTTTTAGTCACATGAAAACTTATATCGAACTTTGAATCTACTAGGGTCACTAACCAATATTGTATCAATGAAAAAAATTGACTCAACAGGTTTTTGTCTTGGCATCAAAGCATATATTTTGGTGAAAATCTCAAAAATTAACTATACTCAGAGAAATTATTACTAACTATACAATGAATATTCATGATTTTTGTGAATATTTGTCTTCTGGTAGGTCCCTCCTGAGTTTCCAACAATAATCTGCTAGCATTCCTGGGCTTCATTTCCATTGATAACGCTTCTCTATTAAGAAAATGTCCTGATGGCATATCTTCCCTTGTTCGTCACTCACAGCATCCAAATCTAAATGAGAGTCAAACATACGTATTTTTTAGGACACGTTACCCCCCAAAGCTTTATCTGACATTATTAGTTCTTCTATTAAGTCTTTGTGTTTTCCGCTTTCTGATTTCTTAGGAAATTTTGGACAACACTCACAAAACATTCCCAGGCGATTCTTTCCTAGTCATTTAGTTCTCATTCAGAGCTCTTATCCTTCATAAGTTGTCGTATTTGTTAGCCTACAAATATTCTCCCTTCAATTTTCGCTGAGTTTGGGGAATTCCTATTTCACATTTTAAAATCCACTGACATCTGCGCATACCTTTTACAAATTTTTTCATCAGACCGAGTGCAACAGTGGTAAAAGTATGTCATCAGGATTCACTTAAGGCTTATTTTCAACATTTTCACGGCCTGGAGTAAGTGACTCACGCTTGAGACACATTTTATTTTAATAGTGGCTTTTCTGTCTCTGCTGTCCCATTCGCAAATATGACAGCAACATTTTGTGTAATCAACATGTAGTCCAAGTAAATAATAAATAACTTTCAAATTGCCACAAATTTTCCGAACGTGTTCACTGTATTTGATTTTTTCAAGAAGAAATCTCATATTTTCGTGAGTATCTTTCATATCAGAACCATGAGCAACCGGCACTGAAGGGAGTTCGTTTCTGTTATGCATCAACACTGCTTTCAAACTAGTTTTTGAGGAGTCAATGAACAGTTGCCAGTTACTTGAATCATATTCAAAATTCAATAAATTCATCACAACATAAATATTATTACAATGGACTTCAGGAATGTAAGGTTTTATTTCATCGTCACAATGTCAAAAATAAGAAACTATTGTATCAGGAGAAAGTAAATTCCAGTCCTTCAATCTAGCAAACTTTGAAGTTTGCCTCATAACTTGGGTCACTATCTTCATATTCTTTAAGCGAACAAGTTCTGCCGGACTTTCTGGTAGATTTGGAGGCTTCGGCACAAGCAGTTCGGCCCTATGTAGAATGGGTCTGTTAGCCGAAGACAAGTTTGGATACTGGATAGTATGTTTGGACTCTGTTGTAATGCATTTTATTTTTGTTTGACTCAAATAAAAGCCCATCCTAATAGGAGTCACACACGTTACACCACATTTGGACCCAGAATTTATCTTGATGTTGCACAGTAAATCCAAAATATTCTTAAAAGAACTGTTCAATTAATGTGGTGAAATTTCCACGCTGGATTGTAAAAACTGATTCTTCACACACATAACACACACAATTTGAGTCATTCTGCGGCTCCCAGAGCTTGGAATCGCTACCAAATTTATCCCAATCGATAGAGGGCAACAAACCGCAGAAAAGATCGTTTGTTATGACTTTGGGCAATTAGGGGTCGCACCGATTCTGCTAGAACACTGCAAAATCGCCTTATAGAAGCTACGGGAACACGAATTTCGAATAAAACGATACGAAACCGACTTCACGAAGTACAACTCCATGCAAGACGACCTGCTAGAGCCCCTAGATTAACTCCAGCTCATCGAGCAAATCGTAGAAACTTTTGTCAAGAGCATCGTAATTGGAATTTAGAGCAGTGGGCCAATGTAATGTTTACAGATGAAAAAAAATCATGTTATTCAATAATGACGGACGTGTTCGGGTATGGAGAGGTTCCGGTGAACGCCATTTGGATGACTGTGTGCAAGAAATTGTTTGGAGGTGGATCGATAATGGTATGGGCTGGTATAACATTGACAGGACACGGATCTTGTGGTATTTGGGAAAGGGACTTTAACGGCTGTCCGTTACATAGAAGAGATATTGGAACCTCATGTCGTCCCATTTGCTCAAAATATGGGCGCTGGGTTCATTTTACAACAAAATAATGCCAGGCCACACGTATTTCATACAGGAGCACAATATTAATATCATGAGTTGGCCAGCTAATAGTCCGGATTTGAATCCTATTGAGCAGCTCTGGGATGAACAGAAAAGACGTTTGGAGGATCATCAACCCTTCCAAAATCTGAATCAAGTTGCAGATGCTCTTTTGACTATTTACGAGCAGTTACCACAACAAATAATTAGAAATTTGGTGGAAAGTATGCCTCGTCATTATGCCGAACTTCTCAGAGCCAGAGGTGGACATACTCACTAATAATGTACATTCTTCTTATTTTTTTCTGAAATAAATTTTATTTGTTTTTGACACTCATTTGTATTTCTTTTTAATCGTATTACCAAACAGCATTTTGAAAACAATATGAGTTAAATTCAATAAAGGCACCTATGAACTATTTTATGAATATAAATATTTGACGAAATAATACATACATTTTGACTTATTGCATTTTAAGGGCATGTCTCTATATTCATTTTGAGTAGTTTATTATTTGAAATATTTGATCTACAAGTATGTTATTGAATGAATGTTAATTATTAAACTACTGAATCCTTTTTTAAAGTTCTACAAGGTTGATCAATATTCTACCCAAACATTTCAGTACAAATTCAAAAGTTTCGAAATTTTCGAGTAGAATTATTGAAGTATCACAAAAATACGTTACTGATGAACACATTGAAAACGATACTTTCATATCCTACTATGTAGAAAGATTGGTAGTGATGAATATTTCAATGTCAATTTATATTTTCTTTGTTTATGTATGTATCCTCAACACATTCGACAAATTTATTTTATTCACAACAACTTTTATTATTACTCATGAACGCTTATTTAAAAGGCACAATAAATTCACTGAATTTGGATCAGTTGTATCAGAACAACCATATTTCAAGACCATTATCTTTAAAAAAGGTTACGTGTTAATATCTCCTGTATATCTAATTAAAACTCATCGCCCATCAAAAACAATTTATTATTTGGAAACATTTCATTTTTTCATTCGTTTGAGTCCCAACCAAAAACCTCCTTCAGCCATGAGATTGAAAGTTCCTTTAGCAAGTTTCATTGGAATTGAAGTTTTCTCCACAGGAACTAACTCAAAATGAAACAGGAGGTGAAAGAATATGAGTTTGGTTTCTAGAAGGCCAAATCTTGATCCGATGCAGTTTCTGGGTCCTAGACCAAATGGCATATAGGCGAAAGTATTGATGTTTCCCTTATTTTCGTCGCTGAATCTTTCTGGATCGAAACGCAATGGGTCAGGATAATATTTAGGATCACGGTGTATCCCGAATATAGGAATCATTATCAAGGTTTTCTTCTCGATATGTACTGGATTCTCATCTGCAGTAACTGGAACTATAGTGTAAGGTTTCGTACAGATTCTGTCTGTTACCAAAGCACTTGGCCATTTTCTCAAAGTCTCTATAAAAATATAAATATGTTTATCATAATTGCAGTCACGAAATTCAAATCACGTGCACATTGAAACGATAGGAACAAATGAGAGAATTTAAAGAAGAAGACATTGCTGAACATTCAAGAAATCAGAGGTGCAGAACTAACAAAATGATTTAAAAGAATGTTTTGATTTTTTCCAATATTTCAAATTCTGAAGTAATTTTTCTCATCTGAAACAACCATGTCCATATATTTCATTTTCAATAACGCTTCATAGGTAATACTTCCTCCACATGAAACTGAAGTTTCATTAATTTCCTTTCTCAGTCTTATTTGGATATCTGAATTCACAGCCAACTCATGTGCCATGAAGCACATGAGAGATGATACGGAATCGAATCCGGCAAAAAAGAATATCAAAGCCTGTGCGGTGATATCTGTGTTAGTGAGTTCTGCGATGTGACCTTTTCCTGAAAAAAAATGGAATATAACTCATTTTTTCAGTTCAAATTTTGAACGATATTTATCAGACGATATGGGGCTAACGTTTGAAGATCTGAGACTAACTATTCGATGAATTCTGAATTCGATTCATGGATTCACTGAGTTTGATTTCACAGATGCCTGTACTTGTACTTTTTGAAACCTTTGGTGTGGTAATGGATATTACTAGAGTCTTATGCCAACACCAAACCGTTATTTTTAACACCTCGACACATTATGTTTCGATCAGCTCCAAGAGCTAGTTTTATCTTCCTCTTGAAGACGATCACTTGTTGATTGGAACACGTGTCGAGGTGTTGAATATAACGGTTTCGTGTTGGGATTAAACTCCAGTAATATTCATTTTTTTGGTACCTTGGAAGCTGTCTGACTTGTCCATTTGGTCCAAGTCTCCAGAAAACACTGCAGCCTCTTGGGCTTATTGCAGTTATACTCTCATCTTCTCATGACACCCATTGCACCAGTCTCGTTCCCTGTAGTAGTTTGTGCAGGTTCCGTGTTGGATGTTCGTTGGATATTCTCCTGGACGTTATTTCGTACGTCCATATATTGTCTGTCTCCTGTAATTCAGTTCCTCACATTCGCATAAGATGTGTAGAGCTGTTTCTATTCCTTCGTTGCATAATCTGCAGCTAAGTTCTCCGTAGTACAGCCCCATTTCATTTATGTGTCCTTCAAGCGGACAATGACCGGTTAGTAACCCTGTAATCATTCTGAGACGATCCCCACTATATTGAAGTAGTTCTTCGGTTCTTTTCTCGGACGGTTCTACTGTGTTTGTTGTCAGGTACTTTTGTCCAGTAATCTGTGTGCTTCTCATTGGTCCATGTTCTAATCTGATTTCGTACCAATGATTTTGGTACCCCCAGAGCTGGTTCAGGATCTATATATGAAGTTGATGATCCGCGTCTAGCGCATTCATCACCTTTATCATTACCTGTGATTGCTGACTGCCTTGGCACCCAGTACAAAGTTAATTTGTTCCTGTTTGCAAGTTCATTCAGTTCTTCATGGCATTCTCAGACCAGTTTTGATGTCACCTTCGAATTTGTCAGAGCCCCTAGTGCGCTCTTGCTGTCTGTTAAAATATTGATCCGCTCATTTCATTGATGTCTCAACTTAATGAACCTTGCACACTGCAAGATAGCATATACTTCCGCCTGAAAGACGGATGTGCATTGTCCTAGCGGATAGCTGTAGTTCGAATTTCTATCTGCTCGGTATATTCCAGCTCACGTTCCATGTTTGGTCTTCAATCCATCTTTATACCAGGTGTTTTTTCCAAACATGTTTTCGGGATGACTAATGGTCTTCCACCCCTCATGGCTCATGATTTTAGGCGTGAAGTTTGTGTTGAAGGTGTATGTCGGTGTCATATGGTCCGTGCACATATTCAATATGTGCCCTTCCACTTGTTCCGAAATTTATGTTCAGTCCGATCTTTTGAGTTTTCTAGTCTGAATTGGCCCATCCTGGCCTCCCCCATTATCATAAAGTTTAAAGGAGGTAGATTCAGGAGTGTCTCCAATGCAGCTGTTGGGATAGTTCTCATTGCTCCTGTCATTCCCAAACATGCAAGTCTTTGCACCTTGCTTAGTTTGTTGATGGCGGTCGCCTGCTTCATCTTTGGCCAGCAGACCAGAGATGCGTATTTTATCATTGGTTAAACCACCATCATGTATAGCCAATATACAATGTCTGGTTTTAGGACTCATTTCTCCCATAGGTGCGTCTGGTGAGCATCAGTGCTACCTCCGCTTTCCTCTTCATCGTGTCCAAGTGTTGGCTCCAGTTCAGTTTGGAATCTAAAATTACTCCCAGATATTCAACATTCACTTGACACTTGTATTTCATCACTTCAAAGTTCTAGAGGTCCGAGACTCTCCGAGACTCTCTCTCGAAGTTTAAAAAATAATGGTTTGGTGTTGGTATAAAACTCCATTAATATTCAGATGTCTGTGCACTAATGGATACTAAGAGATGCTTTTGTTTCAGAAATTATTGCCTATACAGTGGTGTAGCGGATTATCGTGTGGAATTTTTATTCAAATCTTTTGATAAAGTGCGCTCACTCGATTTCATTTACGTGGGCTGATTCTTTGAAAGAACGCTGAATATCGTTAATATCACTATTTGTGTGACGGTACACTGTTGCGTATTTCACAATGTGATGATTTGAATCAAGAGGTAGATGTGGATTGTGATAGAAATGAAATATGCAGATATGCGAACGCGTGAAAGAGAAATTTATATTATTGCATCACAGTTTTTTGTAGTTCTTCCTTGATAATGATAATAAAATTTATCGAAATATTAAAAGGGAATAACTTGTGTTATAAGAGTAACCCATTGTACATCCTCGCAAAGAGTTGTCCTCCTAGGTCATCATCCATCCTGTCTTTTTCAGGAAGATGGAGACATCACTGGGAGACATTTCCTTTATATCGGCAGGTGTAGGCCTAGACTCGCCGAACACACACTCTCTTATTGGGGATAACTCTGGACACTCGCATAGGACATGCCTGACAGTTTCATCTTCCTGTTTACATATCCTGCATAGAGGTGAGTTCACCAGCCCCATATTATGAAGGTGTTTCCTTAGTTGACAGTGGCCACTCGGAAATCCTGGTCATCGCCCGATATTTCTTCGGCACCAGCTTCCCAGGGTAATCCTGGTAAGATTGCATCTTTTGATTCCATCCCAACTCTTTAGGGATTGAACGTGATTGTGACGTTTGGCTGGTTTCGCAATTGTCGAAGTCTTGAGGCCTTAGGTGCTACTGGGTCCTAAAATTCTTAGTCCAACCGCTTTCTTGACTAAAGAGTCGGCAAAGAGACTATCTTCACTCCTGTCGTACCCTTTAATCCACCTGAGGATAATTTTATTACATACCGAGGCTTTGGCTAAATTTTGGTGGCACTCTAGTTCTAGCCCTAAAGTAATACGTTGTCTGTTCAAGGCTGATAGGTCTTGCCTGCTATCAGTGCAGATTGTTATGTTTTTGCCAGAAATTCCTTTTCGGGTTATTTCCTTTGTGGCGATTGAAATACAAACCAGTTCTTTTTGAACCATCCCCCACTTAATTTTTAGGCTCAGTGATTGGAGTACACTCCACATCCTGATCTTTCTTTGTTTTCTGAGCTGTCTTCATTCATTCATTCCTTCTGCGAGGTTGAACCAAAGTTTTTACTAAACAAAAACATTTCTGTTTTTGATCCGATTTTTTTGTGATTGACTATGTAGTTAAGAATCCACACCATAGTATCCTAGTTCTGTTAGCTTGACAGCTTCCACAATTGATACTGATAATTTTGTTTCATTTCTTTTCCGTTTGAATTTTCAAAAATGATTCGCGCCAGATGTTTACAAAAAAAACGTACCCCTTGGCTGACCGTGTTTTTCATGAAACAGAAATGGTGTTCAAATAACTAAAAGTGGACTTTATGGAATGCCGTGTCTCTATGCAGAGATTAGGAGTATCAGTTCCAACTGCTGTTTCATTCGGAATCGATAAATACTTCAGAAACAATATTTGCAATTTCTGGCTTCTAATGGAACGGGTTGAACAAATGAAGCTCTCTCTGACTTCAAAACAATGGTGCTCAAATGTTGATCTCAAAATATTCATTTCGTCTTCTGCAACGATTTACAATTCAAATAATACATTATAGTATAACATCTTGGACGAACAAATCAATGTAGATAATAGATAATCTCTTGGAAACGCTATATAAATGAATAACAATAATAATTGAAAATCAATTCCGGCAGTTGAATCACCAACGCCTTTAACTGAGGGACTAATTGTTTTCTGATAGGTGTCAGTTCATTACCCTACAGTGTAGGTGAGTTGAGTCTGGCCTGAATGACTTTTAGATAATTTGATTAACAACCAGTCTTCAAGTATGCCCCTACAATTCATCTTATTGGTAATCTATCATTAGAAAATTAAAATGAAATTTGCTAGAGGTTGCCCGTCGAAAACATTTTCCACAATGAAATGATAGTAATGTCATGCAGGACTTTGCAATGTGGGAGCTAGGTTGTGGGAACGACACGAATGCAGATCAATATCAGTTCTTCTGTAATCATAGATATCTCAGCAGACTTCATAAGGTTGTGAGAAGTTTTATCAACCAAACTTCAAATATTCGATCAGCCTAATGTTACTATCATTATCAGTACTAATAACTGAATGAGTCTTTATCGAAATGATCTTGAAAAATCTTAAAATGTTTGTGATAAAACTGATATATATTTCCTCAAGAAAACACATGTCAGTGAAAAAACGAGATGTCAATTCCACTTTCCAGATTCAGAGAAAAATATCAATGGTGAAAATAAAAGTTTTCACTGAAACTTACCCATATTAGCTTCCTTAACAGTTGCAAATCCCGTATCAACTTCAACAGTTTCTTCATTGTGATGAATTCCCTTTTTTGCTTCCATTAATAGATGAATCATATCTGGGCGGATGATGTTATTCTCCTCTCGAGTTTTTATAGTATCATCAACTAATTTTTGAAAAAAATTATTCACTGAACGACTAATGAATGATATTCCAAAAAACTGCAAATTGAAATGGAATTATGAAGTTAGGTTACGCTTATTTGCATATCTGAACTGACTGGAGCTCAAGGTGTTGACTGGTTACTCTCAATTATTATTCATGCATATCGTAACTGAAAATTTCAAATAAATTTTGCAAAAATGCAAACATATTGATTGTGTCACACTTAAAACAATTTTTTATTGAAAATATATTTCGCTCACGGCTAGATAAACTGTGCTGCGGCTTCTCAAACATTATTCGATGTTCCAATTTTATCCTCAACAGCAAAGTTTATGATATTCCGGGTATATGGTATTAACTTTACAATGATGATTTGTCTTATAATAAAAAATGATCAATGAATGCAAAATTTGTTAGAAAAATTTTTTAGAAGTTCTCCATATCATGCACTGTATTCATCTACATGCTATGTCGGAAGGTGGGCAGTTGACGTGAGAGGTCAGTTCTACTCATTAAATCTACCAATTAGTGGTTTTCATTCAATTTTCGAACACATTCGCAATGAAGTATGAGAATGATGAAAAAAGGGATAAGATAGTCTGTTTTATACAAATCCAAGAAAATGCAGAAGCAGCAAGCAGCAGTTTGTACCACGTGAGGTATTCAGAGAGAATCCAACCGTTTAGAGACATTTTCACAAGATTGCAACGCAATTTCATTGTTGGTGGTCAATTTGAGAAGAAAAGTCTAAAATTATATGAATCAAATACCCGTGGGTTGGGCTACCTATCAGGCGCGTCCGAAGGTGGCGGATAGGGGAACGGCCAGGGGACTGGAGGCCCTGTCCGGGAAGCCAATGTGGCCTCATGGACGGGGTAGCCGGACGGACTCCTGGTCAGTGGCAGAAATAAAAAGAGTGAGGGGAAGTGAAACCCTCCAATAGCCTTTGCTAAACATGCTACCATGGACCAGCCTACCCAAGCTAAAGTGTAAAGAATCGTGACGAGAGCTGAATGATAGCAGGGTAATATGCGGTCAAGATTCCCTTGGGGAACTGGGCGAAACCTCATTGTAATCAGCCTACCTCTGGTAATGCGGGGCTCTGCCAGAGGTGACCAACTCTTCCCTTGCTACTCGTGGAAACACATATGAATGACACAAAAACAAAAACAAAATCAATCCTGAGGCTGGACAGAAGTGATCACCTTAATCTAAGGCGGTGGCTGGGGATGAACAGAAATGTCCACCCCAATCTACCGCTTGGAATGAGGCTGGATATAGCAGATCACCTCCAACAGCAAAGGCATTTCCTGCGGCTGGCACCAAGAGGTCCGCCTTGAATAAAGGCAGGGAACCGGCTGCCCCTGCAGGAAAGCTCACTCACTTGTGCACTTCCACGGAGGGAACCACAAGAAAGTCGAAGAAGCCGCGCAACGACAGTGATATCGCTGCACCTTCCAAAATCTTCGCAGAGACCACCGTGAGACACCTCAAGGTTGCCAATGAGAGTGTGTGTTCGACGAGTCTTGGCCTACACCTGCCAATATAAAGGAGATGTCTCCTAGTGACCTGCTCACCTTCCTGAAAAGGACAGGATGGACGATGACCTAGGAGAATAACTTTTCGGGAGGATGTACAATGGGCCACATGTGACCTAAGTGCTGTGAGTCTACACTCACCCCCCCTACTCTACAGATATCAGAGATGAATCTGAAGTTTCACAGCAACAAAGCAGAATTCTTCCGTCGTTTCATAAACATGGATGGGACACGGGTCCATCACTTTACACTCGAGACAAAAGAACAATCAAAACTCAAAAGGGAGAACCGGCTCCAAAGAAGGCAGAGACCGTTTTATCTGCAGGCAAGGTCATGGCGTCAGTTTTTTGGAGTGCGCGTGGGACAATTTTCAATGACTATAGTGAAAAACGCGAAACTATCAACGGCAAGTATTATGCGAAATTATTGCATTTGAGTAAAGAAATCATGCCAACCAGCATCGTACCACCTATCGATCCCTTACGAACGACAAACCTCAGATGTCGAAACTTGTGCGAGCAAAGGAATAACGAGGTCTTACCTTTTAACGTGTGATTCCTAATACGGATACAACAATAACATACCAGCTCGCGATGACCAAAATTAACGAATTCAAGTTTAAATTGCTATCATGCACCCTTTTCCAAGATTTAGCCCCCTCCGAATATTTTTTTACCTAATCTTGAAAAATGCCTCAATGGTCAAAGATTTTCCAACGATGAGGAAATAATGTCGGCAGATGATGGCTATTATGAGAAACAACACAGTTCTTATTATAAAAAGGTATCGAACTTATTGAACGTCGTTGGGAAAAGTGTATAAAGGTGCGAGAAAAATATGTTGAAATAAATATACTTAAAAAAACAAAAACACACTTTCGAAGAACATCGAACTAAAAAGTTAAAAAAAAATTTATAAGCCTAAAATAATAACGAACGGAAAATACCAGTATTTTTGTGAAAAAGGCGACTGGCGACAAAAAATTTGGCACAAAGCGCACACCAACTTTTTTCACAATAATACTAGTATCATCCATTCGTTATTGTTTTAAGCTTATTTAGAAAAAAAAAATTTTAACTCTTAAGTTCGATGTTCTTTAAAAGCGTGTTTTTTAGTTTTTCAAACTATATTTATTTTTCAGTTTCGTATGCTATAGAAGCTTGTTTTTTAGCCTTTTTAACTATATTTACTTTATCTGAACTTTGGGATTCATCAGCCGTTGATTGAATTTATCCATGTCGTCAATGACATTCATTCGCTTATTTGACATGATCCCAGACACAGGAATCTCGTTTGAATCAAAAGGGGTACATTTTTACGAGAGATTAAGTTTTGGTTCTTACTTCTACTCCATACAAAAAATGTGGGAATTTTTTGAAGAAAAAAATTAATCTCTTTCAAAAATAAACCCCTTTCAGATTACACTGTGATTCTGTGCTGTATAACTTTTTAATGAGGCAACTTGTCATATTCTCTTCTCTTGTTTATCAATTTCTCTTATAGTTTTGTTTTTCTATTACATCAGGACTTTCAACACTCTCATGCGTTTTGATTTCTTAAATTCGATAGGCAGTAGAATCAGTTTCTTCAATAAATAAACAGCAGCATCAGCATTTTCTTTACAATGATCATAAGCCAAATAATATAAAATGGAGGTAAGTATCAAAATTGCACAAAATTTTTACATATTATGTAGTATGAGAAGAATGTGTTTCCACAGGTATTAATAAAAGTTTATGACCACGAGTTACTCAAATTCTACTATATCAGATGCCCTCGGGTTCGTAATATCACGGTACAGAAATATTTATCTAATACTTCTAATAATGAGTTGATTATTTGTAACGAAAAACAATTCGGTTCCATTTTTCTAACTTACCTGCATAATTTTGGGACAAAAGACCAAAAGACCAATCCGAAGAACTTGATCATATTCACAATTCCTCCGAAATTAGTTGCCTCTTTTCCCATTAAATAAAATTCATTATTTGGTGCTTCAAGTGAGTCAACTTTAACACCAAAAGCAGCAGTTGCTATAACATCGTTGGCGAATCGAGTAAATGTGTCCCTCATTTCCAACTCGAAGCAAACTTGATCTTTCTTGAGAAAATGATTGACAAAATCTTCTGCACATTTTGACATCAGAATGAACATTGTTCGCATTTTGCTACTCGTGAAGGATGGGCTGAGAATGGGTCGCATTTCACGCCATTTCTTACCTAAAACATCAACAGGAGTTATCAGTAGAAATCTGTAATCATTGATCAAAAGTCATTTCTTGCTAATACATTCTTAGAAACAAGTAAGTGAGGATATCGCAAAAATCTGCGTTTCTGTGAAAAAATATGTTTTTCCGTTAACCAGCTGTCGCACCCCTATGAACGACAACCCTCAGAAGTCGCAACTTATGCGAACTGAGGATTAACGAGGTCTTACCAAATTAACATGTTATTCCTAACATAAATTGAAGTTTATTCATCAACATTTTTAAAGATCCTCCACTTTCTACACTGAATGAAGGGTAGAGTAATTTACTGCGTGGATTCCATATATGTAATGGATTTGTAGGTTATGGAAGGTGACAATTCTCAAAAAGGTTATCGGAAAATTGCAGTCGAAGTTTCAGAAAATCGTTTTGCATGGAAGAAATTTGTAAATTGAGAAACTTAGGAAAACATTTCATTCCAATTTCGTTGTGATTCAGTAGATAAATTTTATTCAATAGTATTCGCAGCATAATCCTATGTTTGCTTTCAATTATTTATGTCTTGAAGAACTTTCCTAACAACGTGCCATTTCATTCAACTCGTAAAAAAGTACGCCCTGTATTGAATAGTATTATTTATTACGAAAACAATGATTTACGACACAATTTAGTATGGATTCAAAAGAGAGTTTATAATGAATTTTTGATGTTTCAATGTAGCAGGCATTGTTTTACCAAATACTGACACCATCAGGAGATACACTGGTGTTTAGGAACAGTCCTTGATTTGAATTATATTGGTATTTTGGTATATGACGTTTTAGTTGTCACATTTAATGCTAATTTTTTCCTTGTGAAAATGGAATGTAATTTTTTTCCGGTAGGAAAGATCAATATGATAAGATGTTATGATAATATTTGATGAAGAATAGAGAATTGAAACTTTCTATGTATTTTACCACTTTCATGCGTTACCGCAGTTTCGTCCTATAATGACATTTCCAAACTTATACATTGATCAGTTCAATGTATGAGTTTGAAAATGTTTTTATAGGACGAAATCGCAGTAGTGTTAGTTACAAATAAAAGTGGTACAAAACATAGAAAGTTTCAATTCTCTTTATTTCATTATGATATCCTACCACGTAGTAACGGCTACATCCATCAATTTATTAATAATAGTTATGCTGTTGAAAGTGAAAGTATGTATTTGGGAATCACACGTTAAAAGGTAAGACCTCGTTAGTCCTTAGCTCACACAAGTTTTTCAACTTCTGAGAGTGGCCGTTCGTATGGGGGCGACAGCTGATTAACGAAAAAACATATTTTAAACTGATTTTTTAAACAGAATTAACAACAAACATATTCTGACGGTTGACTAGCTGCAATTGTTAAGATAAGGTGCGTCTTATGAAACCACTACCATCCTGAAATGAGCTTTGCAATGGAGAGCCAACCTATTGGGCAGTTGCAACTACATCCAATATCTCTCAATATTATCTGATGAAGAAAGTAGGATAGCGAAATTTACAGCTCATCTGATGAACCAGTTTGAATTTACAATTTGTTAACTGCTATGATATGATGATAGGAGAAAAACAAGAAAAATGGTGCACCAGGAATTGTAAAGAAAACGAAAACTTTTTCCTTGAAATTGTTTTGCCAGACGGAAATATGGTACTGAATTATCGAATTTTTCTCACGTGGAATACTCATCATTGATCAAGAGATAATCCTCGAAATCGTTTTGGTTTAAATGTGTGAGATATATCTGTATCTGTATCTGTAGAGTAGGGGGGGTGAGTGTAGGCCCACAGCTCTAGGAGTTCTCCTCCTAGGTCATCGTCCATCCTGTCCTTTCCATGTCATCGTCCATCCTGTCTTTTTCAGGAAGGTGGACAGGTCTCTGGGAGACATCTCCTTCATATCGGCAGGTGTTGGCCAAGACTCGCCGAACACACACTCTTTTATTGACGATAGCTCCAGATATTCGCGTAGGATATGCCTGGCATCTTTCTGTTCACACATCCTGCATAGAGGTATGTCCACTAGCCCCATATTGTGGAGGTGTTTCCTCAGTTGACAGTGGCCAGTCAGAAATCCTACTGTTAAGCATAGATTTTTCCTGGTCATCGCCAGATATTTCTTCGGCGCCAGCTTCCCAGGGTAGCCCAGGGGGATACTGAGAAGATTGCATCCTTTTATTTCATCCCATCTCGTTAGGGATTGAGTATGGGAGTAACGTTTGGCTAGTTCCACAATTGTCGAAGTCATCAGGCCGTAGGTGCCACTGGGTGCCTTGGCTAAAGAGTCGGCAATGCGATTACCATTACTCCTGTCCTGCCCTTCAATCCACCTCAGTATAATATTATCATCTAACGAAGCTTTGGCTAAATCTTGGTGACAATCTAGTACCAGCCCTGTGGTAACACGTTGTCTGTTCAAGGCTAATATGGCTTGTGTGCTATCAGTGCAGATTGTTAGATTTTTGCCAGAAATTCCTTTCCTGGTTATTTCTTTCGTGGCGATTGAGATACCAGCCAGTTCTGTTTGGACCACGCTGGTATTTCTTCCCATTCCCCACTTAATCATTAGGCTTAGTGATCTGCAGTATACTCCACATCCTGAACCTTCTTCGGTTTTTGAGCCGTCTGTATATATGCTTATTGCATTTGTAGCATCTGACTCAGTGTTCTGTTTCATTGGTATTTTGTAGAGTTTATTAGACACAAACCTGTGTTCAATTGCTTCACTGATTAATATGGGATATAAATTTTAGTACCCATCCAATATATCTTTTTCAAAAATTATTCTCTTCCATGGAGTATCCGTAATTCATTGGTGCACAATTTGAGAGAAGCATTGGACAAGTTTTCTCGATATTTTTTTATGGTGGTATTGCAGAACTTATTTTCACCGGCATGTTTTTGAAACTGAGGACTAGAGGAGTAGACTACTTTTTGAGACGCTCTAAAAAAATTACACCTGATACGTGAAGAAGTACTTTGAATTCAACAGTTAGAAAGTGTTATCTGTGACGTTACTCACCCATCTAGCTGTAGTTATCCAATTTTCATTTACATAATTTTTAATGAATATTTCTGAATACAAGATCTCATTTCACAACATTAAGAAAATGAAATGTTTCATCGAAAGATATGACACTGATGGCCTATTATTATTGTCATCACCATCATCTATCCGTTTTGCTATATTGTCCGAAATGGAGCCAGAACAAAAAAAAGCCAAATTTCGATTGTAAGCATATTTTTGGAATTTAGAAGGAATTATTCTTTTTTTTTTCAACAGTGACTTGATAACCCTCAAATTGCACAAATTCCTCTGTTCAAACCATCCCCGTATTAATTTCATGAAACACATCCTTATCTTGCTTACACTGTATATCTCAAGAAGTGATGCGAAATGGGTTTAAGTATTCGAGCAAATAATAATTACAATGTATCGATATTGGAGAACTGGAATTTATAGAAAATAATAATAATATTACAATCAATAATAAAATGCTCAGGTTCATTCATTCCGATTAGAATTCTACCCGAAATACATCTCTGTCAGAAAATGTTTCCCCACTTCTTCTACTCCTGAGGTGGACTACATCGCTATAAGATAGTGAGTTGCATTTATGTGCGTAATAAACGACGACAAATTATTTTGTGGTCAACCTGTTCGTATCATTTGTCCGCTATCGGGCCTAACAAGTCTATTTTAACAAGTTTCTTGACACTTCTGATGGTTGATTGATTGCTTAGGCAGGATGTTCATTGTCACCTTCATCACTAGAAACTAATGCGAGCTAACCCTATTTATAGCATAAATAGGGTTAGCTCGCATTAGATGATCACTTGGTGATAGAAACACGTGTCGAGGTGTTGAAAATAGCGATTTGGTGTTGGGAAAAATCTCCAGTAATATTCATTACTACACCAAAGGTTCCAAACAGTGCATCATAAAATTATGTTCAACTTTGTATTTATGGACTCATCGACTATATTTCACGTAAATGACAGCAAAACGTGATAACTGTAAAATCGAAGACGTTAGCAATGTGAGTTTCTTCGATGAAACAGAAACGCAATGGTATTCTTCTTGGACATATCAGATTCATCAAGTTTCCGAATTTGCTGCTCATAATTCTCCCAAAATAATGAAAAGAAGATCGTAGTTGACATTTTTTTTAATCCGTCAAATATTTTGTGGATCCAAATGCAACAGATAGAAACGTCTCATCTCGGTTTGCTATCCTTCGTTATTTTAAAACATACTGAATACCAGCCACCAGCAATAATGATAAAATCTCTATTGAAAATATTTTTTTCTACACCACAACAAAAACACTGTGTCTCAATGTGCATTTTCCTAAACAAATTAGCATCATCAGAAGATGACTGGAAAATCTACTTCACGATATATTTTGTACCACAGGGTTTATAATACAGTGTTTATTTCTGAATCGTACCACCCTCTATTTTCATCTCCTATAAAATATCTAAAAATATGCATTTGGTGGAAAACCGCTTCAGGATATTATTCATTAGCAAATCGGTAAACGAGACGGTTTGAAATGTTGTATATGTGAGCCGCTTATCAAAATATCTCTTAGAGTTTTATCGAAAGAATGATTTTGTATGTAGAATGAAACGATAGTGATGAAACGGTGATATTCCATTCTCATGGAAAAGTTTTATTGCAAAATATTCAATTCGAGTATTCAATAGTTCTGTGCGAATAAGGAATATTCATCAACCGATGAGTTGACATTTTTTCTACCTCTCAATGAAAATAAATTTTTGTTCCATAATTGATCTACTTCCTCTGGAACTATAGGTTTGTGGTCCATGAAGTGGTCGAAATCTTTAACGGTGATTTTTTTCAAAAGTTCTGGATCCTTTATCAATAAAGTTGGCTGAGACATTTCATATATTCCGTGATATCTGGAACCAAAAAGCAATGTCAGCTGGAATGAAAATTTATCACTTTTCTATATTGTCAGATACTTTGACAGGAAGCGGCAATAATTAATTGAATCAGACATAACGTATAAGAGATACTATCTATATTTTGGTAATAGCAAATAATAACAAACACGTTTTGATGAAAATGGTTTTATTGTTTTTTTAAATATTTCTCCTGATGATCAATACACTTTTTCATATCTTTAAACCATTTGTCAAAGCAATTTTTCCATTCCTCGTGAGACACCTTCAAAACATGGATTTTGAACGCTTCAACTGCTTCTTCCGTGCTCGTAAATCGTTGACCACGCAGTTCACCTGTGATATTCAAAAACAAAAAGAAATCATTGAGTGCCAAATCAGAAGTGTCGGGAGGATGAGTCATCAATTCATTGTTTTGATTGCTCAAAAGTTCACTTGTTTGACGAGATGTGTGAGTGCTCCCATTGTCATGATGGAGAATGATTCATCTTGGCCGATTAGTCTTGAGAATTTTTTCGAAAACTTCCGGCAAACAAATGGTCGTGTACCAATCAGAATTGACTGTTTTAAGTTGCACAAGTGGAACAGTAGTCACAAAACCCATTCGGCGAAATAGGCGACCATTTGCTTCGCAGTGCTTCTTTCATGAACCACTTTTGTTGGATTTCGTCTTGCAATACCCACACGGTCGATTGCTGTTTTGTTTTCGGCTCATACGCATATATCCATGATTTGTCACTGGTCATTATCTTGAAGCACCACGGTCGAAATTTCGAATAATTCCGTCACACCACTTGACGCGAGCCTTTTATTGAGCGATTGATAAATTATGGGTTATCCAACGAGAACAAATTTTTTCACAACTGTTCATGCAGAATCTATCTCATAGTAAGTCACATGCCGATCTTGCATTATTAGTTCACGCACAGCATCGAAGTTTTGTGGCACAATGAACGATTTTGGACGACCTTCACGAAATTCGTCGGTGACCAAATTATGACTACGATTGAATTCACTATACCAGTGATATACTGTGGTTTTTCATAGTGCTTTATCGCCATAAAAAGAACTGAGTTCATCAACACATTCTTGTTGAGAAAATCCACGTCGAAAGTTGTGAAAAATAATCCAACGAATACCTTTTATTAAAATTTCTTTTTTTTTGGTACAATTGATTTTTCAACTCACTATAAACAAAACGAATAACACTTGTACATCGAAACGTTGTGAGTATGTGCATGCTGAAAAATATCAAACTTTTTTATGGTGTTGCCACATTTTACCTATTGACATTAGTGTTGCCATTTTCCGAAATATAAATAGTCCCACATTGTATTTTCTTCTGAGGACAAAACACGAGCAGTATAGGAGAAACCTTAAGGTGCTTTAAGAGCGGTGCCTGTGCGAAAGTAACGATTCACATTGGATTTGAATCGCTGGAGATCATATCCATTCGGTAAAATGTTTTCCGAAAGTTTATGTCACATAAACGCAGTTCCCGAAATGGAAGAGTTCTCAAACAGTGAATTCAAGGTGTACTTAGTTGAACCTTGAAACGATGAGCAGCCACAGTCCGCGTATTTCTGATATGTACCACTCTTGGTGGGCCAAGCCACTTGAACACCCGTGAAAGCATGTATAGAAGAAAAACAAATCTTCAACATCTCTTCGATGTTCTAAACAATCTAAACTTTCAAGTTTGCAAGTGATGGTCGTGTCTCCAATCAGGCGGATGGCTCTTTTCAGGATGGAATCCAGCAGCTTCAGATTAAGCTTAGGGGCGGAGCTTCATACATGAGAACAATACTCCAAAGAAGATCTGATCTGAGCTTTATAAAGCATCAAAAATTGCTGAGGTGTGTACAGTTTTTTAGTTGGAACTGTCTTCTGAGCTTTTGAGATGAAGCCCTTTTAATTCCAGCGACATGATTTTGCCAAGACATATTGGTGTCCATTTCAACCTCCAGCAGAAAGCTGAATTGTCTGTCCTGACATTATTATATCCGGTTCGTAGACATTTATCTTTTTGAAGAAAACCGATGCCTAGGTTTTTGACGCATTGAATTGAAATTGGTTTCTTCCACTGTGATGTGAAATCACTTCTAGATCTTCATTGGGATATGCAACCTCCTCCTGTATAATTCGAAAAATATTTCATCTTTTCTGGTACTGAAATATGCTTCTCAGCAAAAATGTGAGTTGAAGCAAATTCACAGATAAAATATTATCTAATACGGTCTCGTAGTTCATGATATCTTTGAAAAGAAAAAAGTATTCTTAATGTATACTTGTGCTGTTTAGTTTTTCATATTTCTGAAATGAAGGATGTCTGAGAATATATATGCTATTTTTCATGGTACAATGCAACATATGACCAGAATTTGAGAAAAGTCATTATGGGAAAAAATTAGTAATTGTAGTGTTTACTAAAAGATGATAAATCTGTATCTGTTTAAAATATGTCATTTTCTCCACATACTTGAACATGTCGAACTACTTTATATGGACTTCTCTTCCTGACTGCATTGTTTTTAAACAACGTCGATGATACATTTAATTTTATACTATCGTGTACGTTTTGTACATTTTCAATCGCAGACAATACACTTTATAGTAATGAGATACTGAAAAATTATGTGTATTGAGCTCCACTCAGTATCATTTACAATGTGTGTTATATCGAGGTTCCATTAGAAGTTTGAGATTGAATAATAGTATGGAAGATTTCGTTATCAGTGCATTGGGTTTTTCACAATGGACAGGATTCATAATAGAAGCATGGCGTATAAAAGTCATGTTTTTATTGAATAATATGCCAGAAAAGTGCTTACATAAAACAAATGATAATCAACAAAGTTTTTCACAAATCGTATTACAACATCAGGACAATCATATACGTTTCTGAAGCAATCACACGAAGGAGAGACTGAAAATTGAACTAAAAAAATAAATGAAAAAATTGGAATATACAAATTAATCTCATAAAATTTTGAAAGGCAACTGGAGAAAACGAAAATCAGGCATAATACGAGGTTTCGAATTAGGTATTAGAAATGAACATTTGGGAAACTTCAATCTCCAGCCTGAAAGTTAATTTTGAATTGATATCTACAAGTTCGTTGTGGAAAGTTAAACAGAAAATTGAACTTGTACGAATCAACGAATGGAATGAAAGAAGAAACGAAACAAAAATAGTTCATTTCATGAAGGCTTACTTATTCAGATTGTTCTATATGTCATACAAAACTATATCAATCCGAGATATCATGAAGTATATCAGATTTGAACAAAATTAATGATTTGTTTGAAGGTGGTTGACAATGTTTCGTGGTGTATTTCATCAGTTCGGAGTTTTGTCTAATATAATATAAATTGATTTGAAATCCCTGAAAAACATAAAAGATTAACCGAAAATAACAATTTTATTAAAAAAAAAATCTGAAATTACAAGGAAATAACATACATGCTACAACCAGAAAATAAAAAATTGAAATATTATAAAAGCTGAAAATTGAAAAATATTATTAACAAA